TTTCTTACTGCAACAATGTTTTTCCTTTTTCCTTTATCCCTTTATTTCTCTTTCTTACTGCAACAATTTTCCCTTTTCCTTTATCCTTGTTCTCTTTCTTACCAACAATGTTTTCCCTTTTCCTTTATCCCTTGTTCTCTTTCTTACCAACAATGTTTTCCTTTTCCTTTATCCCTTGTTCTCTTTCTTACTGCAACAATGTTTTCCTTTTTCCTTTATCCCTTGTTTTCTCTTTCTTGCAACAATGTTTTCCCTTTTCCTTTATCCCTTTTTCTCTTTCTTACTGCAACAATGTTTTCCTTTTTTTTTCCTTTTCTTTTCTTCCACAATGTTTTCTTTTTCCTTTATCCCTTATTCTCTTTCTTACTGCAACAATGTTTTCCTTTTTCCTTTATCCCTTGTTCTTTTCTTTCTTACTGCAACAATGTTTTCCCTTTTCCTTTATCCCTTGTTCTCTTTCTTACTGCAACAATGTTTTTCCCTTTTCCTTTATCCCTTATTTCTCTTTCTTACTCCAACAATGTTTTCCCTTTTCCTTTATCCCTTGTTCTCTTTCTTACTTGCAACAATGTTTTCCCTTTTCCTTTATCCCTTGTTCTCTTTCTTACTGCAACAATGTTTTCCCTTTTTCCTTTATCCTTGTTCTCTTTCTTACTGCAACAATGTTTTCCCTTTTCCTTTATCCCTTGTTCTCTTTCTTACTGCAACAATGTTTTTTTTTCCTTTATCCCTTTTTCTCTTTCTTTTCTTAACAATGTTTTTCCTTTTTCCTTTATCCTTGTTCTCTTTCTTACGTCAACAATGTTTTCCCTTTTTCCTTTATCCTTTTCTCTTTCTTTGCAACAATGTTTTCCTTTTCCTTTATCCTTGTTCTCTTTCTTACTGCAACAATGTTTTCCTTTTCCTTTATCCCTTGTTCTCTTTCTTACTGCAACAATGTTTTCCTTTTCCTTTATCCCTTGTTTCTCTTTCTTACTGCAACAATGTTTTTCCTTTTTCCTTTATCCCTTGTTTTCTCTTTCTTACTGCAACAATGTTTTTCCTTTTTCCTTTATCCCTTTTCTCTTTCTTACTGCAACAATGTTTTCCCTTTTCCTTTATCCTTGTTCTCTTTCTTACTGCAACAATGTTTTTCCTTTTCCTTTATCCCTTGTTCTCTTTCTTACTGCAACAATGTTTTCCTTTTTCCTTTATCCTTGTTCTCTTTTCTTACTGCAACAATGTTTTCCTTTTCCTTTATCCCTTTTTCTCTTTCTTACTGCAACAATGTTTTCCCTTTTCCTTTATCCTTATTCTCTTTTTCTTACTGCAACAATGTTTTTCCCTTTTTCCTTTATCCCTTGTTCTCTTTCTTACTGCAACAATGTTTTCCCTTTTTCCTTTATCCCTTGTTCTCTTTCTTACTGCAACAATGTTTCCTTTTTTTATCCCTTTTTCTTTCTTTGCAACAAATTTTTCCTTTCCTTTATCCCTTATTTCTCTTTCTTACTGCAACAATTTTTTTCCCTTTTTCCTTTATCCCTTGTTCTCTTTCTTACTTATTGCAACAATCAATTTTTCCTTTTCCTTTATCCCTTGTTCTCTTTCTTACTGCAACAATGTTTTCCTTTTTCCTTTATCCCTTGTTCTCTTTCTTACTGCAACAATGTTTTCCTTTTTCCTTTATCCTTATTTCTCTTTCTTACTGCAACAATGTTTTCCCTTTTCCTTTATCCTTGTTCTCTTTCTTACTGCAACAATGTTTTCCTTTTTCCTTTATCCCTTGTTCTCTTTCTTACTGCAACAATGTTTTCCTTTTCCTTTATCCTTGTTCTCTTTCTTACTGCAACAATGTTTTCCCTTTTTCCTTTATCCCTTTTTTCTCTTTCTTACTGCAACAATGTTTTTCCCTTTTCCTTTATCCCTTGTTCTCTTTCTTACTGCAACAATGTTTTCCCTTTTTCCTTTTCCCTTGTTCTCTTTCCTGCCAATTTATCCTTTTCTCTTTCTTCTCTTTCAACAATGTTTTCCCTTTTCCTTTATCCCTTGTTCTCTTTCTTACTGCAACAATGTTTTCCCTTTTCCTTTATCCCTTGTTCTCTTTCTTACTGCAACAATGTTTTCCCTTTTCCTTTATCCTTGTTCTCTTTCTTACTGCAACAAACCTTTTCCTTTTCCTTTTTCTTTCTTTGCAACAATGTTTCCCTTTTTTTTCCCTTGTTTTCTTACTGCAACAATGTTTTCCCTTTTCCTTTATCCTTGTTCTCTTTCTTACTGCAACAATGTTTTCCCCTTTTCCTTTATCCCTTGTTCTCTTTCTTGCAACAATGTTTTTCCCTTTTCCTTTATCCCTTATTCTCTTTCTTACGTGCAACAATGTTTTCCCCTTTTCCTTTATCCCTTGTTCTCTTTCTTACTGCAACAATGTTTTTTCCCCTTTTCCTTTATCCCTTGTTCTCTTTCTTACTGCAACAATGTTTTCCCTTTTTTCCTTTATCCCTTTTTCTCTTTCTTACTGCAACAATGTTTTCCTTTTCCTTTATCCCTTGTTCTCTTTCTTTGCAACAATGTTTTCCTTTTTCCTTTATCCTTGTTCTCTTTCTTACTGCAACAATGTTTTTCCTTTTCCTTTATCCTTGTTCTCTTTCTTACTGCAACAATTTTTCCCTTTTCCTTTATCCCTTTTTTCTCTTTCTTACTGCAACAATGTTTTCCTTTTTCCTTTATCCTTGTTCTCTTTCTTACTGCAACAATGTTTTCCTTTTCCTTTATCCCTTGTTCTCTTTCTTACTGCAACAATGTTTTCCCTTTTTCCTTTATCCCTTGTTCTCTTTCTTACTCCAACAATTTCCCTTTTTTCCTTTATCCTTGTTCTCTTTCTTACTCAACAATTTTTCCTTTTTCTTTATCCCTTATTCTCTTTCTTACTGCAACAATGTTTCCCTTTTCCTTTATCCCTTGTTCTCTTTCTTACTGCCTTGTTTTCCCTTTTTCCTTTATCCCCTGTTCTCTTTCTTTACTGCAACAATGTTTTCCTTTTCCTTTATCCCTTTTTCTCTTTCTTACTTCAACAATGTTTTCCCTTTTTCCTTTATCCCTTGTTCTCTTTCTTACTGCAACAATGTTTTCCCTTTTTCCTTTATCCCTTGTTCTCTTTCTTACCAATGTTTTTCCCTTTTCCTTTATGTTTTCAATGTTTTTTCTTTTTCCTTTATCCCTTGTTCTCTTTCTTACTGCAACAAATGTTTTCCTTTTTCCTTTATCCCTTGTTCTCTTTCTTACGTCCCAATGTTTTCCCCTTTATCCCTTGTTCTTTTCTTTCTTGCAACAATGTTTTCCCTTTTTCCTTTATCCCTTGTTCTCTCTTTCTTACTGCAACAATGTTTTCCCTTTTCCTTTATCCCTTGTTCTCTTTCTTACTGCAACAATGTTTTCCCTTTTCCTTTATCCCTTGTTCTCTTTCTTACTGCAACAATGTTTTCCCTTTTTCCTTTTCCCTTTTTCTCTTTCTTACTGCAACAATGTTTTTTCCTTTTCCTTTATCCCTTGTTCTCTTTCTTACTGCAACAATGTTTTCCCTTTTCCTTTATCCCTTGTTCTCTTTCTTACTGCAACAATGTTTTCCTTTTCCTTTATCCTTTTCTCTTTCTTTGCAACAATGTTTTCCCTTTTTCCTTTATCCCTTATTTCTCTTTCTTACTGCAACAATGTTTTCCCTTTTCCTTTATCCCTTGTTCTCTTTCTTACTCCAACAATGTTTTTCCCTTTTCCTTTATCCCTTGTTTCTCTTTCTTACTGCAACAATCCTTTTTCCTTTTCCTTTATCCTTTCTTTCTTTTCCTTTTGCTTTATCCCTTGTTCTCTTTCTTTTCCTTTCCCCTTTTTCCTTTATCCTTTTCTCTTTCTTACTGCAACAATGTTTTCCTTTTCCTTTATCCCCTTCTCTTTCTTACTTACTGCAATGTTTTCCCTTTTCCTTTATCCCTTGTTCTCTTTCTTACTGCAACAATGTTTTCCCCTTTTCCTTTATCCCTTGTTCTCTTTCTTACTGCAACAATGTTTTCCCCCTTTTTCCTTTATCCCTTGTTCTCTTTCTTACTGCAACAATGTTTTCCTTTTCCTTTATCCCTTGTTCTCTTTCTTACTGCAACAATGTTTTCTTTTTTCTTTTCCTTGTTCTCTCTTTCTTTCTGCAACAATATTTTCCCTTTTCCTTTATCCCTTGTTCTCTTTCTTAATGTGTTTTCCCTTTTCCTTTATCCTTGTTCTCTTTCTTACTGCAACAATGTTTTTCCTTTTTCCTTTATCCTTATTTCTCTTTCTACTGCAACAATGTTTTCCCTTTTCCTTTATCCTTATTTCTCTTTCTTACTGCAACAATGTTTTCCTTTTTCCTTTATCCCTTGTTCTCTTTCTTACTGCAACAATGTTTTCCCTTTTTCCTTTATCCCTTATTTCTCTTTCTTACTGCAACAATGTTTTCCCTTTTCCTTTATCCCTTGTTCTCTTTCTTACTGCAACAATGTTTTTCCCTTTTCCTTTATCCCTTGTTCTCTTTCTTACTGCAACAATGTTTTCCTTTTTCCTTTATCCCTTGTTCTCTTTCTTACTGCAACAATGTTTTTCCTTTTTCCTTTTCCCTTATTTCTCCTTACTGCAACAATGTTTTCCCTTTTCTTTATCCCTTATTTCTCTTTCTTGCAACAATGTTTTCCCTTTTCCTTTATCCCTTGTTCTCTTTCTTCAATGTTTTCCCTTTTCCTTTATCCTTATTCTCTTTCTTACTGCAACAATGTTTTTCCTTTTTCCTTTATCCCTTGTTCTCTTCCCTTACTGCAACAATGTTTTCCCTTTTCCTTTATCCCTTGTTCTCTTTCTTACTGCAACAATGTTTTTCCTTTTCCTTTATCCCTTGTTCTCTTTCTTACTGCCTAATGTTTTCCTTTTCCTTTATCCCTTGTTCTCTTTCTTACGTCAATGATTTTCCCTTTTCCTTTATCCTTGTTCTCTTTCCTGCAACAATGTTTTCCCTTTTCCTTTATCCCTTGTTCTCTTTCTTACTGCAACAATGTTTTCCCTTTTCCTTTATCCCTTGTTCTCTTTCTTACTGCAACAATGTTTTCCTTTTTTCCTTTATCCCTTGTTCTCTTTCTTACTGCAACAATGTTTTTCCCTTTTCCTTTATCCCTTGTTCTCTTTCTTACTGCAACAATGTTTTCCTTTTTCCTTTATCCCTTGTTCTCTTTCTTACAATGTTTTCAACAATATCCCTTGTTCTCTTTCCTGCAACAATTTTCCTTTTTCCTTTATCCCTTGTTCTCTTTCTTACTGCAACAATGTTTTCCTTTTCCTTTATCCCTTGTTCTCTTTCTTACTGCAACAATGTTTCCCCTTTTCCTTTATCCTTGTTTCTCTTTCTTACTGCAACAATGTTTTCCTTTTCCTTTATCCCTTGTTCTCTTTCTTACTGCAACAATGTTTTCCCTTTTTCCTTTATCCCTTGTTCTCTTTCTTACTGCAACAATGTTTTCCTTTTCCTTTATCCCTTATTTCTCTTTCTTACTGCAACAATGTTTCCCCTTTTTCCTTTATCCCTTGTTTTCTCTTTCTTACTGCAACAATGTTTTCCCTTTTCCTTTATCCCTTGTTCTCTTTCTTACTGCAACAATGTTCTCTTTTTTCCAATGTTTTTTTTCCTTTATCCCTTGTTCTCTTTCTTACTGCAACAATGTTTTCCCTTTTTCCTTTATCCTTTTCTCTTTCTTTGCATTTTCCCTTTTCCTTTTCCTTTTCCTTTCTTCCAACAATATTTTCTTTTCCTTTTCTTACTGCAACAATGTTTTTCCTTTTCCTTTATCCCTTGTTTCTCTTTCTTACACAATTTTTCCCTTTTCCTTTATCCTTGTTCTTTTCCTGCAACAATGTTTTCCCTTTTCCTTTATGTTCTCTTTCTTACTGCAACAATGTTTTCCCTTTTCCTTTATCCTTGTTCTCTTTCTTACTGCAACAATGTTTTCCTTTTTCCTTTATCCCTTGTTCTCTTTCTTACTGCAACAATGTTTTCCTTTTCCTTTATCCCTTGTTCTCTTTCTTACTCCAACAATGTTTTTCTTTTCCTTTATCCCTTGTTCTCTTTCTTACTGCAACAATGTTTTTCCTTTTTCCTTTATCCCTTGTTCTCTTTCTTACTGCTTACTCCTACAATGTTTTCCCTTTTCCTTTATCCCTTGTTCTCTTTCTTTGCAACAATGTTTTCCTTTTTCCAACAATGTTCTCTTTTTCCCTGTTTTCCTTTATCCCTTGTTCTCTTTCTTACTGCAACAATGTTTTCCCCCTTTTCCTTTATCCCTTGTTCTCTTTCTTACTGCAACAATGTTTTCCCTTTTTTCCTTTATCCTTGTTTCTCTTTCTTACTGCAACAATGTTTTCCCTTTTCCTTTATCCTTGTTTTTTCTTTTTGCAACAATGTTTTCCCTTTTTCTTTATCCCTTGTTCTCTTTCTTACTGCAACAATGTTTTCCCTTTTTCCTTTATCCCTTGTTCTCTTTCTTACTGCAACAATGTTTTCCCTTTTTCCTTTATCCTTGTTCTCTTTCTTACTGCAACAATGTTTTCCCTTTTCCTTTATCCTTGTTCTCTTTCTTACTGCAACAATGTTTTCCCTTTTTCCTTTATCCCTTGTTCTCTTTCTTACTGCAACAATGTTTTCCCTTTTTCTTTATCCCTTGTTCTCTTTCTTACTGCAACAATGTTTCCCTTTTTCCTTTATCCTTGTTCTCTTTCTTACTGCAACAATGTTTTCCTTTTCCTTTATCCTTGTTTTCTCTTTTTCTCTTTCAACAATGTTTTCTTTTTCCTTTATCCCTTGTTCTCTTTCTTTCAACAATGTTTTTTTCCTTTATCCCTTGTTCTCTTTCTTACTGCAACAATGTTTTCCTTTTTCCTTTATCCCTTGTTCTCTTTCTTTCAATATTTTTCCTTTTCCTTTATCCCTTGTTCTCTTTCTTACAACAATTTTTCTTTTTCCTTTATCCCTTGTTCTCTTTCTTACTGCAACAATGTTTTTCCTTTTCCTTTATCCCTTGTTCTCTTTCTACGTGCAACAATGTTTTCCTTTTCCTTTATCCCTTGTTCTCTTTCTTACTGCAACAATGTTTTCCTTTTTCCTTTATCCCTTGTTCTCTTTCTTACTGCAACAATGTTTTTCCTTTTCCTTTATTCCTTGTTCTCTTTCTTACTGCAACAATGTTTTCCCTTTTCCTTTATCCCTTGTTCTCTTTCTTAACAATGTTTTTCCCTTTTCCTTTATCCCTTGTTCTCTTTCTTACTGCAACAATGTTTTTCCTTTTCCTTTATCCCTTGTTTCTTTCTTACTGCAACAATGTTTTCCTTTTCCTTTATCCCTTGTTCTCTTTCTTACTGCAACAATGTTTTCCCTTTTCCTTTATCCTTGTTCTCTTTCTTACTGCAACAATGTTTTCCCTTTTCCTTTATCCCTTGTTCTCTTCTCTTGCAACAATTTTTTTCCCTTTTCCTTTATCCCTTGTTTCTCTTTCTTACTGCAACAATGTTTTCCTTTATTTTTCCTTTATCCCTTGTTCTCTTTTCTTGTTTCTCTTTCTTGCAACAATGTTTTCCTTTTTCCTTTATCCCTTGTTCTCTTTCTTACTGCAACAATGTTTTCCCTTTTCCTTTATCCCTTGTTCTCTTTCTTGTTTTCCCTTTTCCTTTATCCCAATCTTTTTTCCAACAATTTTTCCTTTATCCTTATTTCTCTTTCTTACTGCAACAATGTTTTCCTTTTTCCTTTTCCCCTTTTTCCTTTATGTTTTCCCTTTTTCCTTTTCCTTGTTCTTTCTTACTGCAACAATGTTTTCCCTTTTTCCTTTATCCTTGTTCTCTTTCTTACTGCAACAATGTTTTCCCTTTTCCTTTATCCCTTGTTCTCTTTCTTACTGCAACAAATGTTCTCTTTCTTTCCACAATGTTTTCCCTTTTTCCTTTATCCCTTGTTCTCTTTCTTACGTCCACAATGTTTTCCCTTTTTCCTTTATCCCTTGTTCTCTTTCTTACTGCAACAATGTTTTCCCTTTTTCCTTTATCCCTTGTTCTCTTTCTTACTGCAACAATGTTTTCCCTTTTTCCTTTATCCCTTGTTCTCTTTCTTACTGCAACAATGTTTTCCCTTTTTCCTTTATCCCTTATTCTCTTTCCTTTATCCCTTGCTCTTTCAATGTTTTTCCCTTTTCCTTTATCCCTTGTTCTCTTTCTTACTGCAACAATGTTTTCCTTTTTCCTTTATCCCTTGTTCTCTTTCTTACTGCAACAATGTTTTCCCTTTTTCCTTTATCCCTTTTTCTCTTTCTTACTGCAACAATGTTTTCCCTTTTTCCTTTATCCCTTGTTCTCTTTCTTACTGCAACAATGTTTTCCCTTTTTCCTTTATCCCTTGTTCTCTTTCTTACTGCAACAATGTTTTCCCTTTTCCTTTATCCCTTGTTCTCTTTCTTACTGCAACAAATTTTTCCTTTTCCTTTATCCCTTGTTCTCTTTCTTACTGCAACAATGTTTTCCTTTTTCCTTTATCCCTTGTTCTCTTTCTTACTGCAACAATGTTTTCCCTTTTTCCTTTATCCCTTGTTCTCTTTCTTACTGCAACAATGTTTTCCTTTTTCCTTTATCCCTTGTTCTCTTTCTTACTGCAACAATGTTTTTCCCTTTTCCTTTATCCCTTGTTCTCTTTCTTACTGCAACAATGTTTTCCCTTTTCCTTTATCCCTTTGTTTTCCTTTCTTTATCCCTTATTTCTCAACAATGTTTTCCTTTTGCAACAATGTTTTCCTTTTTCCTTTATCCTTTGTTCTCTTTCTTACTGCAACAATGTTTTTTTTCCTTTATCCTTGTTTTTTCCCTTTTCCTTTACTGCAACAATGTTTTTCCTTTTCCTTTATCCTTGTTTTCCTTTTCTCTTTCTTACTGCAACAATGTTTTCCCTTTTTCCTTTATCCCTTGTTCTCTTTCTTACTGCAACAATGTTTTCCTTTTTCCTTTATCCCTTGTTCTCTTTCTTACTGCAACAATGTTTTCCTTTTTCCTTTATCCTTATTTCTCTTTCTTACTGCAACAATGTTTTCCCTTTTCCTTTATCCTTGTTCTCTTTCTTACTGCAACAATGTTTTCCTTTTCCAATGTTTCTCTTTTTCCCTTTTCCTTTATCCCTTGTTCTCTTTCTTACTGCAACAATGTTTTCCTTTTCCTTTTCTCCCAATGTTTTCCCTTTTCTTTATCCCTTGTTCTTCTTACTGCAACAATGTTTTCCCTTTTTCCTTTATCCCTTGTTCTCTTTCTTACTGCAACAATGTTTTCCCTTTTCCTTTATCCCTTGTTCTCTTTCTTACTGTCAACAATGTTTTCCTTTTTTTTCCTTTTCCTTTATCCCTTGTTCTCTTTCTTACTGCAACAAACAATGTTTTTCCCTTTTTCCTTTATCCCTTGTTCTCTCTTTCTTACTGCAACAATGTTTTTTTTCCCTTTTCCTTTATCCCTTGTTTTCCTCTTTTCTTACTGCAACAATGTTTTCCCTTTTTCCTTTATCCCTTGTTCTCTTTCTTACTGCAACAATTTTTCCTTTTCCTTTTCCCTTATTCTCTTTCTTACTGCAACAATGTTTTCCCTTTTCCTTTATCCCTTGTTCTCTTTTCCACCTTAATGTTTTCCCTTTTCCTTTATCCCTTGTTCTCTTTCTTACTGCAACAATGTTTTCCCTTTTCCTTTATCCCTTGTTCTCTTTCTTACTGCAACAATGTTTTCCCTTTTTCCTTTATCCTTGTTTCTCTTTCTTACTGCAACAATGTTTTTCCCTTTTCCTTTATCCTTGTTCTCTTTCTTACTGCAACAATGTTTTCCCTTTTCTTTATCCTTGTTCTCTTTTTACCCAATGTTTTCCCTTTTCCTTTATCCCTTGTTCTCTCTTTCTTACTGCAACAATGTTTTTTTCCCTTTTCCTTTATCCCTTGTTCTCCTTTTCTTATCCTTCTCTAATGTTTTCCCTTTTCCTTTTCCCTTGTTCTCTTTCTTGCAACAATGTTTTCCTTTTCCTTTATCCCTTTTCCTTTCTTCTGCAAAAATTTTTCCCTTTTCTTTTATCCTTGTTTCTTTCTTGCAACAATGTTTTTCCCTTTTCCTTTATCCTTGTTCTCTTTCTTACTGCCCAACAATGTTTTCCCTTTTTCCTTTATCCCTTGTTCTCTTTCTTACTGCAACAATGTTTTTCCTTTTCCTTTATCCCTTGTTCTCTTTCTTACTGCAACAATGTTTTCCTTTTCCTTTATCCTTGTTCTCTTTCTTACGTCAACAATGTTTTCCTTTTCCTTTATCCCTTGTTCTCTTTCTTACTGCAACAATTTTTCCCTTTTTCCTTTATCCCTATTTCTCTTTCTTACTGCAACAATGTTTTCCTTTTTCCTTTATCCCTTGTTCTCTTTCTTCTGCAACAATGTTTTCCTTTTTCTTTATCCTTGTTCTCTTTCAACAATGTTTTCCTTTTCCTTTATCCCTTGTTCTCTTTTCTTAATGTTTTGCAACAATGTTTTCCTTTTCCTTTATCCCTTGTTCTCTTTCTTACTGCAACAATGTTTTCCCTTTTCCTTTATCCCTTGTTCTCTTTCTTTTCAACAAATTTTTCCCTTTTCCTTTATCCCTTGTTCTCTTTCTTACTGCAACAATGTTTTCCTTTTTCCTTTATCCCTTGTTCTCTTTCTTACTGCAACAATGTTTTCCCTTTTCCTTTATCCCTTGTTCTCTTTCTTACTGCAACAATGTTTTCCTTTTCCTTTATCCCTTGTTCTCTTTCTTACTGCAACAATGTTTTCCTTTTTCCTTTTCCTTGTTCTCTTTCTTACTGCAACAATGTTTTCCCTTTTTCCTTTATCCCTTGTTCTCTTTCTTACTGCAACAATGTTTTTCCCTTTTCCTTTATCCCTTGTTCTCTTTCTTACTGCAACAATGTTTTCCTTTTTCCTTTATCCTTGTTCTCTTTCTTACTGCAACAATGTTTTCCTTTTCCTTTATCCCTTGTTCTCTTTCTTACTGCAACAATGTTTTTTCCTTTTCCTTTATCCCTTGTTCTCTTTCTTACTGCAACAATGTTTTCCCTTTTTTCCTTTATCCTTGTTCTCTTTCTTACTGCAACAATGTTTTCCTTTTTCCTTTATCCTTGTTCTCTTTCTTACGTCAACAATGTTTTTCCTTTTCCTTTATCCCTTGTTCTCTTTCTTACTGCAACAATGTTTTTTCCTTTTTCCTTTATCCCTTGTTCTCTTTCTTACTGCAACAATGTTTTCCTTTTTCCTTTATCCTTGTTCTCTTTCTTACTCCAACAATGTTTTCCTTTTCCTTTATCCTTTTCTCTTTCTTACTGCAACAATTTTTTCTTTTCCTTTTCCCTTTTTCTCTTTCAACAATGTTTTCCTTTTTCCTTTATCCCTTGTTCTCTTTCTTACTGCAACAATGTTTTCCTTTTCCTTTATCCCTTGTTCTCTTTCTTACTGCAACAATGTTTTCCCTTTTCCTTTATCCTTTTTCTTTCTTTATCCTTGTTTTCTTTTTCCTTTATCCTTATTTCCCTTACTTGCAACAATGTTTTCCTTTTCCTTTATCCCTTTTCTCTTTCTTACTGCACAATGTTTTCCTTTTCCTTTATCCCTTGTTCTCTTTCTTACTGCAACAATGTTTTCCCTTTTCCTTTATCCCTTGTTCTCTTTCTTACTGCAACAATGTTTTCCCTTTTTCCTTTATCCCTTGTTCTCTTTCTTACTGCAACAATCTTTTCCCTTTTCCTTTTTTATCCCTTGTTCTCTTTCTTACTGTCAACAATGTTTTCCTTTTTCCTTTATCCCTTGTTCTCTTTCTTACTGCAACAATGTTTTCCTTTTCCTTTATCCCTTCTTACTGCAACAATGTTTTCCTTTTCCTTATCCCTTGTTCTCTTTCTTAACAATGTTTTCCTTTTTCCTTTATCCTTGTTCTCTTTCTTACTGCAACAATGTTTTCCTTTTTCCTTTATCCCTTGTTCTCTTTCTTACTGCAACAATGTTTTCCTTTTTCCTTTATCCTTGTTCTCTTTCTTACTGCAACAATGTTTTCCCTTTTTCCTTTATCCCTTGTTCTCTTTTTTACTCCAACAATGTTTCCCTTTTCCTTTATCCTTGTTCTCTTTCTTACTGCAACAATGTTTTTCCTTTTCCTTTATCCCTTGTTCTCTTTCTTACTGCAACAATGTTTTCCCTTTTCCTTTTTCCCTTGTTCTCTTTCTTACTGCAACAATGTTTTCCTTTTCCTTTATCCTTGTTCTCTTTCTTACTGCAACAATGTTTTCCCTTTTCCTTTATCCCTTGTTCTCTTTCTTACTGCAACAATGTTTTCCTTTTTCCTTTATCCCTTGTTCTCTTTTCTTACAACAATGTTTTTCCTTTTTCCTTTATCCCTTGTTCTCTTTCTTACTGCAACAATGTTTTTCCTTTTTCCTTTATCCCTTGTTCTCTTTCTTACTGCAACAATGTTTTCCCTTTTCCTTTATCCCTTGTTCTCTTTCTTACTGCAACAATGTTTTCCCTTTTCCTTTATCCCTTATTTCTCTTTCTTACTGCAACAATGTTTCCCTTTTCCTTTATCCTTGTTCTCTTTCTTACTGCAACAATGTTTTCCCTTTTCCTTTATCCCAATATTTTCTCTTTTCTTTATCCCTTGCAACAATGTTTTTCTTTTTCCTTTATCCCTTGTTCTCTTTCTTACGTCCACAATGTTTTCCTTTTTCCTTTATCCCTTGTTCTCTTTCTTACTGCAACAATGTTTTCCCTTTTTCCTTTATCCCTTGTTCTCTTTCTTACTGCAACAATGTTTTCCCTTTTTCCTTTATCCCTTGTTCTCTTTCTTACTGCAACAATGTTTTCCCTTTTTCCTTTATCCCTTGTTCTCTTTCTTACTGCAACAATGTTTTCCCTTTTTCCTTTATCCCTTGTTCTCTTTCTTACGTCCACAATGTTTTCCCTTTTTCCTTTATCCCTTGTTCTCTTTCTTACTGCAACAATGTTTTCCCTTTTTCCTTTATCCCTTATTCTCTTTCTTACTGCAACAATGTTTTCCTTTTTCCTTTATCCTTGTTCTCTTTCTTACTGCAACAATGTTTTCCTTTTTCCTTTATCCTTATTCTCTTTCTTACTGCAACAATGTTCTCTTTTTCCAACAATGTTTTTCCTTTATCCCTTGTTCTCTTTCTTACTGCAACAATGTTTTCCTTTTTCCTTTATCCTTTTTCTCTTTCTTACTGCAACAATGTTTTCCTTTTCCTTTATCCTTGTTCTCTTTCTTACTGCAACAATGTTTTCCCTTTTCCTTTATCCCTTGTTCTCTTTCTTACTGCAACAATGTTTTCCCTTTTTCCTTTATCCTTATTCTCTTTCTTGTTTTTCCTTTTCCTTTATCCTTGTTCTCTTTCTTACTGCAACAATGTTTTCCCCTTTTTCCTTTATCCTTGTTCTCTTTCTTACTGCAACAATGTTTTCCTTTTTCCTTTATCCCCTTGTTCTCTTTCTTACTGCAACAATGTTTTCCCCTTTTTTCTCCTTTCTTCCAATGTTTTCCTTTTTCTTATCCTTGTTCTCTTTCAACAATGTTTTTCCTTTTTCCTTTATCCTTGTTCTCTTTCTTACTCCAACAATGTTTTCCCTTTTCCTTTATCCCTTGTTCTCTTTCTTACTGCAACAATGTTTTCCCTTTTTCCTTTATCCCTTGTTCTCTTTCTTACTGCAACAATGTTTTCCTTTTTCCTTTATCCCTTGTTCTCTTTCTTTGCAACAATGTTTTCCCTTTTTCCTTTATCCCTTATTTCTCTTTTCTTACTGCAACAATGTTTTCCCTTTTTCCTTTATCCCTTGTTCTCTTTCTTACTGCAACAATGTTTTCCCTTTTCCTTTATCCCTTGTTCTCTTTCTTACTGCAACAATGTTTTCCCTTTTCCTTTATCCCTTGTTTCTCTTTCTTACTGCAACAATGTTTTCCCTTTTCCCTTTATCCCTTGTTCTCTTTCTTACTCAACAATTTTCCCTTTTCCTTTATCCCTTGTTCTCTTTCTTACTGCAACAATGTTTTCCTTTTTCCTTTATCCTTGTTCTCTTTCTTACTCAATGTTTTCCCTTTTCCTTTCCCTTGTTCTCTTTCTTAACAATGTTTTCCCTTTTCCTTTATCCCTTTTTCTCTTTTTATCCCTTGTTTTCTTTTCCTTTTCCTTGTTCTCTCTCTTTCTGCAACAATGTTTTCCCTTTTTCCTTTATCCTTGTTCTCTTTCTTACTGCAACAATGTTTTCCCTTTTTCCTTTATCCTTGTTCTCTTTCTTACTGCAACAATGTTTTCCCTTTTTCCTTTATCCTTGTTCTCTTTCTTACTGCAACAATGTTTTTCCTTTTCCTTTATCCTTGTTTTCTCTTTCTTATTCTCTTTCTGCAACAATGTTTTCCCTTTTTCCTTTATCCCTTGTTCTCTTTCTTACTCCAATGTTTTCCCTTTTCTTTATCCCTTGTTCTCTTTCTTACTGCAACAATGTTTTTCCCTTTTCCTTTATCCCTTGTTCTCTTTCTTACTGCAACAATGTTTTCCTTTTCCTTTATCCTTGTTCTCTTTTCTTTGCATGTTTTCCTTTTCCTTTATCCCTTGTTCTCTTTCTTATGCAACAATTTTTCCTTTTTCCTTTATCCCTTATTCTCTTTCTTACTGCAACAATGTTTTTCCTTTTTCCTTTATCCCTTGTTCTCTTTCTTACTGCAACAATGTTTTCCCTTTTTCCTTTATCCTTGTTCTCTTTCTTACGTCCAATGTTTTCCTTTTTCCTTTATCCCTTATTCTCTTTCTTACTGCAACAATGTTTTCCTTTTTCCTTTATCCCTTGTTCTCTTTCTTACTGCAACAATGTTTTCCCTTTTTCCTTTATCCCTTTTCTCTTTCTTACTGCAACAATGTTTTTCCCTTTTTCCTTTATCCCTTGTTCTCTTTCTTACTGCAACAATGTTTTCCCTTTTCCTTTATCCCTTGTTCTCTTTTTCTTTGTTTTTCCCTTTTCCTTTAATCCCTTGTTCTCTTTTTACCAACAATTTTCCTTTTCCTTTATCCTTGTTCTCTTTCTTCTTGCAACAATGTTTTCCTTTTCCTTTATCCTTTTTCTCTTTCTTACTGCAACAATGTTTTCCCTTTTCCTTTATCCTTGTTCTCTTTCTTACTGCAACAATGTTTTCTTTTTCCTTTATCCCTTTTCTCTTTCTTTGCAACAATGTTTTCCCTTTTTTCCTTTCTCCCTTTTCTCTTTCTTACTGCAACAATGTTTTTCCCTTTTCCTTTATCCCTTATTTCTCTTTCTTACTGCAACAATGTTTTCCTTTTTCCTTTATCCCTTATTTCTCTTTCTTACTGCAACAATATTTTTCCTTTTCCTTTTCCTTTTCTCTTTCTTTCCAACAATGTTTCCCTTTTTCTTTATCCCTTATTTCTCTTTCTTACTGCAACAATGTTTTCCTTTTTCCTTTTCCCTTTTTCCTTTTTACTGCAACATGTTTTTCTTTTCTTTCATTTTCTCTTTCTTACTGCAACAATGTTTTCCCTTTTCCTTTATCCCTTGTTCTCTTTCTTACTGCAACAATGTTTTCCCTTTTTCCTTTATCCCTTGTTCTCTTTCTTCTTCATGTTTTTTCCCTTTTTCCTTTATCCTTGTTCTCTTTCTTACTGCAACAATGTTTTCCCTTTTTCCTTTATCCCTTGTTTCTCTTTCTTTGCAACAATGTTTTCCTTTTTCCTTTATCCCTTTTTCTCTTTCTTACTGCAACAATGTTTTCCCCTTTTCCTTTATCCCTTGTTCTCTTTCTTACATCCAACAATGTTTCCCTTTTCCTTTATCCCTTGTTCTCTTTCTTTGCAACAATGTTTTCCCTTTTCCTTTATCCCTTGTTTCTCTTTAATGTTTTCCCTGCATCCCTTGTTCAATTTTTTTCCTTTTTCCTTTATCCTTGTTCTCTTTCTTACTGCAACAATGTTTTCCTTTTCCTTTATCCCTTGTTCTCTTTCTTACGTGCAACAATGTTTTCCCTTTTCCTTTATCCCTTGTTCTCTTTCTTTTGCAACAAATGTTTTTCCTTTTTCCTTTATCCTTGTTCTCTTTCTTACTGCAACAATGTTTTTCCTTTTCCTTTATCCCTTGTTCTCTTTCTTACTGCAACAATGTTTTCCTTTTCCTTTATCCTTGTTCTCTTTCTTACTGTCCAATGTTTTTTCCTTTTTCCTTTATCCTTGTTCTCTTTCTTACGTCCAATGTTTTTCCTTTTTCCTTTATCCCTTGTTTCTTTCCCAACAATGTTTTCCTTTTCCTTTATCCCTTATTTCTCTTTCAATACAATGTTTCCCTTTTTCCTTTATCCCTTGTTCTCTTTCTTATCAATGTTTTCCTTTTCTTTATTTCTTTTTCCCTTTTTCCTTTATCCCTTGTTCTCTTTCTTACTGCAACAATGTTTTTTTCCTTTTTCCTTTATCCCTTTTTCTTTCTTTTGTTTTCCTTTTTTATCCCTTGTTCTCTTTCTTACTGCAACAATATTTTTCCTTTTCCTTTATTTATTCCTTGTTTTCCCTTTTCCTTTATCCCTTGTTCTCTTTCTTACTGCAACAATGTTTTTCCTTTTCCTTTATCCTTGTTCTCTTTCTTTGCAACAATGTTTTCCCTTTTCCTTTATCCTTGTTCTCTTTCTTACTGCAACAATGTTTTCCTTTTTCCTTTATCCCTTGTTCTCTTTCTTACTGCAACAATGTTTTCCCTTTTCCTTTATCCTTGTTCTCTTTCTTACTGCAACAATGTTTTCCCCTTTTCCTTTATCCTTGTTCTCTTTCTTACTGCAACAATGTTTTCCCTTTTTCCTTTATCCCTTGTTCTCTTTCTTACTGCAACAATGTTTTCCCTTTTTCCTTTATCCCTTGTTCTCTTTCTTACGTCCACAATGTTTCCCTTTTCCTTTATCCCTTTTTCTCTTTCTTACTGCAACAATGTTTTCCCTTTTCCTTTATCCTTATTTCTCTTTCTTATCCTGCAACAATGTTTTTTTTTCCTTTTTCTTTATCCCTTGTTCTCTTTCTTACTGCAACAATGTTTTTCCCTTTTCCTTTATCCCTTGTTTCTCTTTCTTACTGCAACAATGTTTTCCTTTTCCTTTATCCCTTGTTCTCTTTCTTACTGCAACAATCTTTTTCCCTTTTCCTTTATCCCTTGTTCTCTTTCTTACTGCAACAATGTTTTTCCTTTTTCCTTTATCCTTTTCTCTTTTCCTTTTTCCTTTATCCCTTATTTCTCTTTCTTACTGCAACAATGTTTCCTTTTCCTTTTCCAATTTTCTTTTCCTGCAACAATTTTCCCATTTTCCTTTATCCTTGTTCTCTTTCTGCAACAATGTTTTCCTTTTTCCTTTATCCCTTGTTCTCTTTCTTACTGCAACAATGTTTTCCTTTTCCTTTATCCCTTGTTCTCTTTTCTTACTGCAACAATGTTTTCCCTTTTCCTTTATCCCTTGTTTCTCTTTCTTACATCCAATGTTTTTCCCTTTTTCCTTTATCCCTTGTTCTCTTTCTTACTGCAATGTTTTCCCTTTTTCCTTTTTCCCTTTTCTCTTTCTTACTGCAACAATGTTTTCCCTTTTCCTTTTATCCCTTGTTCTCTTTCTTACTGCAACAATGTTTTCCTTTTTCCTTTATCCCTTATTTCTCTTTCTTCAATGTTTCCTTTTTTGTTTTCCTTTTCCTTTATCAATGTTTTCCCTTTTTCTTTTCTTACTTTCCACAATGTTTTCCCTTTTTCCTTTTTATCCCTTTTTTCTCTTTCTGCAACAATGTTTTTCCTTTTCCTTTTCCTTGTTCTCTTTCTTACTGCAACAATGTTTTTCCCTTTTTCCTTTATCCCTTGTTCTCTTTCTTACTGCAACAATGTTTTCCCTTTTCCTTTATCCCTTGTTTCTCTTTCTTACTGCAACAATTTTTCCTTTTCCTTTATCCTTGTTCTCTTTCTTACTGCAACAATGTTTTCCTTTTCCTTTTCCTTTTCTCTTTCTTATCCCTTTTCCTTTTCCTTTATCCTTTTCTCTTTCTTGCAACAATGTTTTCCCTTTTCCTTTATCCCTTGTTCTCTTTCTTACTGCAACAATGTTTTTTCCCTTTTTCCTTTATCCTTTTTCTCTTTCTTACTGCAACAATGTTTTCCCCTTTTCCTTTATCCCTGCAACAATTTCTCTTTCTTACTGCAACAATGTTTTTCCTTTTTCCTTTATCCCTTATTTCTCTTTCTTACTGCAACAATTTTTCCTTTATCCCTTTTTCTCTTTTTACTGCAATCCCTTTTCCTTATTTCTCTTTCTTACTGCAACAATGTTTTTTCCCTTTTCCTTTATCCCTTGTTCTCTTTCTTACTGCAACAATGTTTTCCCCTTTTCCTTTATCCTTATTTTCTCTTTCTTACGTCAATGTTTTCCCCTTTATCCCTTATTCTCTTTTCTTACTGCAACAATGTTTTCCCTTTTTCCTTTATCCTTGTTCTCTTTACTGCAATTTTTCCTTTCAATCTTTTTACTGCCAATTTTTCCTTTATCCCTTTTCTCTTTCTTACTGCAACAATGTTTTCCCTTTTTCCTTTATCCCTTTTCTCTTTCTTACTGCAACAATGTTTTCCCTTTTTCTTTATCCTTTTTTTCTCCCTTGTTTTCCTTTTTCCTTTATCCCTTGTTCTCTCTTTCTTAACATGTTTTTCCTTTTCCTTTATCCCTTATTCTCTTTCTTACTGCAACAATGTTTTCCTTTTTCCTTTATCCCTTGTTCTCTTTCTTACTGCAACAATGTTTTCCTTTTTCCTTTATCCCTTATTTTCTTTCTTACTCAATGTTTTCCTTTTTCCTGTCACAATGTTTTTCCTTTTTCCTTTATCCCTTGTTCTCTTTCTTACTGCAACAATGTTTCCCTTTTTCCTTTATCCTTGTTCTCTTTCTTACTGCAACAATCTTTTCCCTTTTCCTTTATCCCTTATTTCTCTTTCTTACTGCAACAATGTTTTCCCTTTTCCTTTATCCCTTGTTCTCTTTCTTACCAACAATATTTTCTTTTCCTTTATCCCTTGTTCTCTTTCTTACTGCAACAATGTTTTTCCTTTTTCCTTTATCCCTTGTTCTCTTTCTTACTGCAACAATGTTTTCCCCTTTTCCTTTATCCCTTATTTCTCTTTCTTACTGCAACAATGTTTTCCTTTTTCCTTTATCCCTTATTTCTCTTTCTTACTGCAACAATGTTTTTCCCTTTTTCCTTTATCCCTTGTTCTCTTTCTTACTGCAACAATGTTTTCCTTTTTCCTTTATCCCTTGTTCTCTTTCTTTACAATATTTTCCCCTTTTTCCAACAATCAATTTTTCCTTTTCTTTTATCCCTTGTTCTCTTTCTTACTGCAACAATGTTTTCCTTTTCTTTATCCCTTGTTCTCTTTCTTACAACAATGTTTTTCCTTTTTCCTTTATCCCTTGTTCTCTTTCTTACTGCAACAATGTTTTTCCCTTTTCCTTTATCCTTGTTCTCTTTCTTACTGCAATGTTTTCCCTTTTCCTTTAATGTTCTCTTTCTTTCCTTTTTCCTTTTCCTTTATCCCTTGTTTCTCTTTCTTACTGCAACAATGTTTTCCTTTTCCTTTATCCTTTTTTCTTTCTTTATCAATGTTTTCCCTTTTTTTTTTCTCTTTCTTACTGCAACAATGTTTTTCCCTTTTTCCTTTATCCCTTGTTCTCTTTTCTTACTGCAACAATGTTTTCCCCTTTTCCTTTATCCTTATTCTCTTTCTTACTGCAACAATGTTTCCCTTTTTCCTTTATCCCTTGTTCTCTTTCTTACTGCAACAATGTTTCCCTTTTCTTTGTCCTTACTGCAACAATGTTTTCTCTTTCTTCTTTCTTGCAACAATGTTTTCCCTTTATCCTTTTCTCTTTCTTGCAACAATGTTTTCCTTTTCCTTTATCCCTTGTTCTCTTTCCACAATGTTTCCTTTTCCTTTATCCCTTTTCTCTTTCTTACTGCAACAATGTTTTCCTTTTTCCTTTATCCTTGTTCTCTTTCTTACTGCAACAATGTTTTTTTTCCTTTATCCTTTTCTCTTTTTATCCAATGTTTTTTTTCTCCTTCTCTTTCTGCAACAATGTTTTCCCTTTTTCCTTTATCCCTTGTTTCTCTTTCTTACTGCAATGTTTTCCCTTTTCCTTTTCCTTTATTTCTCTTTCTTACTGCAACAATGTTTTCCTTTTTCTTTATCCTTGTTCTCTCTTTCTTACTGCAACAATGTTTTCCCTTTTCCTTTATCCTTATTCTCTTTCTTACTGCAACAATGTTTTTCCCTTTTCCTTTATCCCTTATTTCTCTTTCTTACTGCAACAATGTTTTCCCTTTTTCCTTTATCCCTTGTTCTCTTTCTTACTGCAACAATGTTTTTCCTTTTCCTTTATCCCTTGTTTTCTCTTTCTTACGTCCCACAATGTTTTCCCTTTTCCTTTATCCTTGTTCTCTTTCTTACGTCAACAATGTTTTCCTTTTCCTTTATCCTTTTCTTTTTCCTTTGTCCTTTTCCTTTCTTGTTCTCTTGCAACAATGTTTTCCCTTTTTTCCTTTATCCTTGTTTCTCTTTCTTTGCAACAATGTTTTCCCTTTTCCTTTATCCCTTATTCTCTTTCTTACTGCAACAATGTTTTCCTTTTCCTTTATCCTTATTTCTCTTTCTTACTGCAACAATGTTTTTTTTCCTTTATCCTTTTCTCTTTCTTATCCAATGTTTTCCTTTTCCTTTTCCTTATTTCTCTTTCTTACGTCAATGTTTTTCCCTTTTCCTTTATCCCTTGTTCTCTTTCTTACTGCAACAATGTTTTCCTTTTTCCTTTATCCCTTATTTCTCTTTCTTACTGCAACAATGTTTTCCCTTTTTTCCTTTATCCCTTGTTCTCTTTCTTACTGCATGTTTTTCCCTTTTCCTTTATCCCTTGTTCTCTTTCTTTAATTTTCCCTTTTCCTTTATCCCTTGTTCTTTCTTACTGCAACAATGTTTTCCCTTTTCCTTTATCCCTTGTTCTCTTTCTTACTGCAACAATGTTTTCCCTTTTTCCTTTATCCCTTGTTCTCTTTCTTACTGCAACAATGTTTTCCTTTTTCCTTTATCCCTTGTTCTCTTTCTTACTGCAACAATGTTTTCCCTTTTTCCTTTATCCCTTGTTCTCTTTCTTACTGCAACAATGTTTTCCCTTTTTCCTTTATCCCTTGTTTCTCTTTCTTACGGCAACAATGTTTTTCCTTTTCCTTTATCCCTTGTTCTCTTTCTTACTGCAACAATGTTTTCCTTTTCCTTTATCCTTGTTCTCTTTCTTACTTGTTTCCCTTTTCCTTTATCCCTTGTTCTCTTTCTTTTCCTGTCTTTTTCCCTTTTCCTTTATCCCTTGTTCTCTTTCTTACTGCAACAATGTTTTCCTTTTCCTTTATCCCTTGTTCTCTTTCTTACTGCAACAATGTTTTCCTTTTTCCTTTATCCCTTGTTCTCTTTCTTACTGCAACAATGTTTTTCCCTTTTTTTTCCCTTTTCCTTTCTTACTGCAACAATGTTTCCTTTTTCCTTTATCCCTTGTTCTCTTTCTTACTGCAACAATGTTTTCCCTTTTTCCTTTATCCCTTGTTCTCTTTCTTACTGCAACAATGTTTTCCCTTTTTCCTTTATCCCTTGTTCTCTTTCTTACTGCAACAATGTTTTTTTCCTTTTCCTTTTATCTTTCCTGCAACAATGTTTTCTTTTCCTTTTCCTTGTTCTCTTTCTTGCAACAATGTTTTTCCCTTTTTCCTTTATCCCTTGTTCTCTTTCTTACTGCAACAATGTTTTCCTTTTTCCTTTATCCTTGTTCTCTTTCTTACTGCAACAATGTTTTCCCTTTTCCTTTATCCTTACTGCAACAATATTTTTTCTCTTTCTTACTGCAACAATGTTTTTCCCTTTTTCCTTTATTTTCTCTTTCTTACTGCAACAATGTTTGTTTTTCCTTTTCCTTTGTCCTTGTTTTTCTCTTTCTTACTGCAACAATGTTTTCCTTTTTTTCCTTTATCCCTTATTTCTCTTTCTTACTGCAACAATGTTTTCCTTTTTCCTTTATCCCTTGTTCTCTTTCTTACTGCAACAATGTTTTTCCCTTTTCCTTTATCCTTGTTCTCTTTCTTACTCAACAATGTTTTTCCCTTTTCCTTTATCCCTTCCTTTTCTCTTTCTTACTGCAACAATGTTTTCCCTTTTCCTTTATCCCTTCTCTTCTCTTTCTGCAACAATGTTTTCCTTTTTCCTTTATCCCTTGTTCTCTTTCTTACTGCAACAATGTTTTCCCTTTTCCTTTATCCTTGTTCTCTTTTTTCTTACTGCAACAATGTTTTCCCTTTTCCTTTATCCCTATTTCTCTTTCTTACTGCAACAATGTTTTCCTTTTTCCCTTTTCCTTTATTCAATGTTTTCCCCTCAAACAATGTTTTCCCTTTTTCCTTTATCCTTGTTCTCTTTCTTACAACAATGTTTTCCTTTTTCCTTTATCCCTTGTTCTCTTTTCTTACTGCAACAATGTTTTCCCTTTTCCTTTATCCCTTGTTCTCTTTCTTACTGCGTCAATGTTTTCCCTTTTCCTTTATCCCTTATTTCTCTTTCTTACGTCCTGATGTTTTCCTTTTCCTTTCCCCTTTTCCTTTATCCCTTGTTCTCTTTCTTACGCAACAATGTTTTCCCCTTTTCCTTTATCCCTTGTTCTCTTTCTTACTGCAACAATGTTTTCCCCTTTTCCTTTATCCCCTTGTTCTCTTTCTTACTGCAACAATTTTTTTCCCTTTTCTTTTCCTTTCCTTTATCTTTCCTGCAACAATATTTTTCTTTTTCCTTTATCCTTGTTCTCTTTTCTTTTGCAACAATGTTTTCCCTTTTCCTTTTATCCTTGTTCTCTTTCTTACAACAATTTTTCCTTTTTCCTTTATCCCTTATTCTCTCTTTCTGCAACAATTTTTCCTTTTCCTTTATCCCTTATTTCTCTTTCTTACTGCAACAATGTTTTCCCTTTTTCCTTTATCCCTTATTTCTCTTTCTTACTGCAACAATGTTTTCTTTTTCCTTTATCCTTATTTCTCTTTCTTTGCAACAATGTTTCCCTTTTCCTTTATCCCTTGTTCTCTTTCTTACTGCAACAATGTTTTCCCTTTTCCTTTATCCCTTATTTCTCTTTCTTACAGCAACAATGTTTTTCCCTTTTCCTTTATCCCTTGTTCTCTTTCTTACTGCAACAATGTTTTCCCTTTTCCTTTATCCTTGTTTCTCTTTCTTACTGCAACAATGTTTTCCTTTTCCTTTATCCCTTGTTCTCTTTCTTACTGCAACAATGTTTTCCCTTTTTCCTTTCCCTTGTTCTCTTTCTTACAGCCAACAATGTTTTCCTTTTTCCTTGTCCCTTGTTCTCTTTCTTACAACAATGTTTTCCTTTTTCCTTTATCCCTTGTTCTCTTTCTTACTGCAACAATGTTTTTCCTTTTTCCTTTATCCTTGTTCTCTTTCTTACTGCAACAATGTTTTCCTTTTCCTTTATCCTTTTTCTCTTTCTTACTGCAACAATGTTTTCCCTTTTCCTTTATCCCTTGTTCTCTTTCTTACTGCAACAATTTTTCCTTTTTCCTTTATCCCCTTTTCTCTTTCTTACTGCAACAATGTTTCCCTTTTTCCTTTATCCCTTGTTCTCTTTCTTACTGCAACAATGTTTTCCCTTTTTCCTTTATCCTTTTCTCTTTCTTACTGCAACAATGTTTTCCCTTTTTCCTTTATCCTTGTTCTTTCTTTCTGCAACAATGTTTTTCCTTTATCCCTTATTTCTCTTTCTTACTCCAACAATGTTTTTCCCTTTTCCTTTATCCTTGTTTCTTTCTTACTGCAACAATGTTTTCCCTTTTTCCTTTATCCTTGTTCTCTTTCTTACTGCAACAATGTTTTCCCTTTTCCTTTATCCTTATTTCTCTTTCTTACGTCAATGTTTTTCCTTTTCCTTTATCCCTTGTTTCTCTTTCTTACTGCAACAATGTTTTCCTTTTTCCTTTATCCTTGTTCTCTTTCTTACTGCAACAATGTTTTCCTTTTTCCTTTATCCCTTTTTCTCTTTCTTACTGCAACAATGTTTTCCCTTTTCCTTTATCCCTTGTTCTCTTTCTTACTGCAACAATGTTTTCCTTTTCCTTTATCCCTTTTTCTCTTTCTTTTCAATGTTTTCCTTTTCCTTTATCCCTATTTCTCTTTCTTACTGCAACAATGTTTTTTCCTTTTCCTTTATCCCTTGTTCTCTTTCTTACTGCAACAATGTTTTTCCTTTTTCCTTTATATTTTTCTTTTTCTTACTGCAACAATGTTTTCCCTTTTCCTTTATCCCTTGTTCTCTTTTTTCCCTTTTTCCTCCTTTCTTATCCCTTGTTCCTCTTTCTTGCAACAATGTTTTTCCCTTTTTCCTTTATCCCTTGTTCTCTTTCTTGCAACAATGTTTTCCCTTTTCCTTTATCCCTTGTTCTCTTTCTTACTGCAACAATGTTTTTCTTTTCCTTTATCCCTTATTTCTCTTTCTTACTGCAACAATGTTTTTCCCTTTTCTTTGTCCTTATTCTCTTTCTTACTGCAGCAATGTTTTCCTTTTCCTTTATCCTTATTTCTCTTTCTTACTGCAACAATGTTTTCCTTTTTCCTTTAATGTTCTTCTTCCAATGTTTTCCCTTTTTCCTTTATCCTTGTTCTCTTTCTTACTGCAACAATGTTTTCCCTTTTCCTTTATCCTTGTTCTCTTTCTTTTGCAACAATGTTTTCCTTTTTCCTTTATCCCTTGTTCTCTTTCTTACAACAATGTTTTTCCCCTTTTCCTTTATCCCTTGTTCTCTTTCTTACTGCAACAATGTTTTCCCTTTTTCCTTTATCCCTTATTTCTCTTTCTTACTCAACAATGTTTTTCCTTTTTCCTTTATCCTTGTTCTCTTTCTTACTGCAACAATGTTTTCCTTTTCCTTTATCCCTTATTCTCTTTTCTTTCCTTTTTTTCCTTTTTCTCTTTCTTACTGCAACAATGTTTTTCCTTTTCCTTTATCCAACAATGTTTCCCTTTTCCTTTATCCTTATTTCTCTTTCTTACTGCAACAATGTTTTCCCTTTTCCTTTATCCCTTATTTCTCTTTCTTACTGCAACAATGTTTTCCTTTTTCCTTTATCCCTTATTTCTCTTTCTTACTGCAACAATGTTTTTCCCTTTTCCTTTATCCCTTGTTCTCTTTCTTACTGCAACAATGTTTTCCCCTTTTTCCTTTATCCCTTAATGTTTTCTCTTTCTTACTTGCAACAATGTTTTCCCTTTTCCTTTATCCCTTATTTCTCTTTCTTACTGCAACAATGTTTTCCTTTTTCCTTTATCCCTTGTTCTCTTTCTTACGTCCACAATGTTTTCCCTTTTTCCTTTATCCCTTGTTCTCTTTCTTACTGCAACAATGTTTTCCTTTTTCCTTTATCCCTTGTTCTCTTTCTTACTGCAACAATGTTTTCCCTTTTTCCTTTATCCCTTGTTCTCTTTCTTACTGCAACAATGTTTTTCCTTTTTCCTTTATCCTTGTTCTTTTCTTACTGCAACAATGTTTTCCTTTTTCCTTTATCCCTTGTTCTCTTTCTTACTGCAACAATGTTTTCCTTTTTCCTTTATCCTTGTTCTCTTTCTTACTGCAACAATGTTTTCCTTTTCCTTTATCCCATTTCTCTTTCTTACTGCAACAATGTTTTCCCTTTTCCTTTATCCTTGTTTCTCTTTCTTACTGCAACAATGTTTTACCCTTTTTCCTTTATCCCTTGTTCTCTTTCTTACTACCACAATGTTTTCCTTTTCCTTTATCCCTTGTTCTCTTTCTTACTGCAACAATGTTTTCCCTTTTTCCTTTATCCCTTATTCTCTTTCTTACTGCAACAATGTTTCCTTTTCCTTTATCCTTGTTTCTCTTTCTTACTGCAACAAATTTTTCCCTTTTCCTTTATCCCTTGTTCTCTTTCTTACTGCAACAATGTTTTCCTTTTTCCTTTTATCCCTTGTTTTTCTCTTTCTTTCTCTGCAACAATGTTTTCCTTTTCCTTTATCCTTGTTCTCTTTCTTACTGTTTTCCAACAATGTTCTTTTTTCCTTTTCCTTTATCCTTTTTCCTTTCTTCCAACAATGTTTTCTCTTTCTTACTTGTTTTAACAATGTTTTCCCAATTTTTCCTTTATCCCTTGTTCTCTTTCTTACTGCAACAATGTTTTTCCTTTTTCCTTTATCCCTTGTTCCTTTTCTTACTACAACAATGTTTTCCCTTTTTCCTTTATCCCTTGTTCTCTTTCTTACTGCAACAATGTTTTCCCTTTTCCTTTATCCTTGTTCTCTTTCTTACTGCAACAATCTTTTTCCTTTTTCTTTTCCTTTCTTATCCCTTTTTCTCTTTCTTACTTGCAACAATGTTTTCTTTTTTTCCTTTATCCCTTGTTCTCTTTCTTACTGTAAACAATGTTTTCCCTTTTTCCTTTATCCCTTGTTCTCTTTCTTACTGCAACAATGTTTTTCCCTTTTTCCTTTATCCCTTATTCTTTTCTTACTGCAACAATGTTTTCCCCTTTTCCCTTGTTCTTTTTCTTACTGCAACAATGTTTTTTTTTTTTTTTGTTCTCTTTCTTACTGCAACAATGTTTTCCCTTTTCCTTTATCCTTTATCCTTTCTTTCTTACTGCAACAATGTTTCCTTTTTCCTTTATCCCTTATTTCTCTTTCTTACTGCAACAATGTTTTCCTTTTCCTTTATCCTTTTTCTCTTTCTTACTGCAATTAATGTTTTCCCTTTTCCCTTTTCCTTTTTACTGCAATTAAGTTTCCTTTTTTTATCCCTTGTTCTCCCTTTTCTTACTGCAACAATGTTTTCCCTTTTCCTTTATCCCTTGTTCTCTTTCTTACTGCAACAATGTTTTCCCTTTCCTTTCCCTTCTCTTTCTTACTGCAACAATGTTTCTCTTTATCCCTTTTCTCTTTCTTACATTAATGTTTTTCCCTTTTCCTTTATCCTTGTTCTTTTTCTTACTTAACCTAATGTTTTCCCCTTTTCCTTTATCCCTTGTTCTCTTTTTACTGCTTTTCCCAATGTTTTCCTTTTTCCTTTATCCCTTGTTCTCTTTCTTACTGCAACAATGTTTTCCCTTTTCCTTTATCCCTTGTTCTCTTTTCTTACAACAATGTTTTTCCTTTTTCCTTTATCCCTTGTTCTCTTTCCTTTTTCCCTTTGTCCTTGTTCTCTTTCTTACTGCAACAATTTTTTCCCTTTTCCTTTATCCCTTCTTTCTCTTTCTTACTGCAACAATGTTTTCCCTTTTTTCCTTTATCCTTTTTCTCTTTCTTACTGCAACAATGTTTTTCCTTTTCCTTTATCCCTTGTTCTCTTTCTTACTGCAACAATGTTTTCCCTTTTCCTTCCCTCCATTTCTCTTTCTTACTGCAACAATGTTTTTCCTTTTTTTCCTTTTTCTCTTTCTTACTGCAACAATGTTTTCCCCTTTTCCTTTTCTTTCTTTGCAACAATGTTTTCCCTTTTCCTTTATCCTTCTCTTTCTTACTGCAACAATGTTTTTTTTTCCTTTATCCCTTGTTCTCTTTCTTACTGCAACAATGTTTTCCTTTTCCTTTATCCCTTGTTCTCTTTCTTACTGCAACAATGTTTTCCCTTTTTCCTTTGCAACAATGTTTTCCTTGTTCTCTTTCTTACTGCAACAATGTTTTCCCTTTTCCTTTATCCTTGTTCTCTTTCTTGCAACAATATTTTCCTTTTCCTTTTATCCTTGTTCTCTTTCTTACTGCAACAATGTTTTCCCTTTTCCTTTATCCTTTTCTCTTTCTTACTGCAACAATGTTTTCCTTTTTCCTTTATCCCCTTATTCTCTTTCTTACTGCAACAATGTTTTCCCTTTTTCCTTTATCCTTGTTCTCTTTCTTACTGCAACAATGTTTTCCTTTTTCCTTTATCCAATTTTTCTCTTTCTTACTTGTTCAACACCTGTTTTTCCCTTTTTCCTTTATCCCTTGTTCTCTTTCTTACTGCAACAATGTTTTCCCTTTTTCCTTTATCCCTTGTTCTCTTTCTTACTGCAACAATGTTTTTCCCTTTTCCTTTATCCCTTCACAATTTCTCTTTCTTTTGCAACAATAATTTTCCCTTTTTCCTTTATCCCTTGTTCTCTTTCTTACTGCAACAATGTTTTCCCTTTTTTCCTTTATCCTTGTTCTCTTTCTTACTGCAACAATGTTTTTCCTTTTTCCTTTATCCCTTGTTCTCTTTCTTACTGCAACAATGTTTTCCTTTTTCCTTTATCCTTGTTCTCTTTCTTACTGCAACAATGTTTCCCTTTTTCCTTTATCCTTGTTCTCTTTCTTACTGCAACAATCCCTTTTCCCCTTTTCCTTTATCCCTTATCCCTTGTTCTCTTTCTTACTGCAACAATGTTTTCCCTTTTCCTTTATCCTTGATTTCTCTTTCTTACTGCAACAATGTTTTCCTTTTCCTTTATCCTTATTTCTCTTTCTTACTGCCACAATGTTTTCCCCTTTTTCCTTTATCCCTTGTTCTCTTTCTTACTGCAACAATTTTTTCCTTTTCCTTTATCCCTTGTTCTCTTTTTCTTACTGCCTTAATGTTTTCCTTTTCCTTTATCCTTGTTCTCTTTCTTACTGCAACAATGTTTTTTCCTTTTTCCTTTATCCCTTATTTCTCTTTCTTACTGCAACAATGTTTTCCTTTTTCCTTTATCCTTGTTCTCTTTCTTACTGCAACAATGTTTTTCCTTTTCCTTTATCCTTCTTTCTGTTTTTCTTACTGCAACAATGTTTTCCTTTTTCCTTTCTTTTTCCCTTCCTTTCTCTTTCTTTTGCAACAATGTTTTCCCCTTTTCCTTTATCCCTTGTTCTCTCTTTCTTACTGCAACAATGTTTTCCTTTTTCCTTTATCCTTGTTCTCTTTCTTACTGCAACAATGTTTTCCCTTTTCCTTTATCCTTGTTCTCTTTCTTTTGTCCACAATGTTTTTCCTTTTCCTTTTCCTTTCTCTTTCTTACTGCAACAATTTTTCCCTTTTTCTCCTTTCTTTCTTACTGCAACAATGTTTTTCCTTTTTCCTTTATCCTTGTTCTCTTTCTTACTGCAACAATGTTTTCCCCTTTTCCTTTATCCTTATTCTCTTTCTTACTGCAACAATGTTTTCCCTTTTTCCTTTATGTTTCCTTTTCCCTTGTTCTCTTTCTTACTGCAACAATGTTTTCCTTTTTCCTTTATGTTCTCTTTTTTACCCAATGTTTTTCCTTTATCCTTCCTTTTCTCTTTCTTTCTTACATCAATGTTCTCTTTTTCCCAATGTTTCCCTTTTTCCTTTATCCCTTGTTCTCTTTCTTACTGCAACAATGTTTTCCCTTTTCCTTTTCCCTTTTTCCTTTATCCCTTTTCCTCCTTGTTTTCTTACTGCAACAATGTTTTTCCTTTTCCTTTATCCTTTTTCTTTTTACTGCAACAATGTTTTCCTTTTCCTTTATCCTTGTTCTCTTTCTTACGTCAACAATGTTTCCCTTTTCCTTTTCTCTTTATCCCTTGTTCTCTTTCTTACTGCAACAATGTTTTCCTTTTTCCTTTATCCCTTGTTCTCTTTTTCTTACTATCAACAATCTTTTTTCCCTTTTCCTTTTTATCCCTTGTTCTCTTTCTTACTGCAACAATGTTTTCCCTTTTTCCTTTATCCTTGTTCTCTTTCTTACTGCAACAATGTTTTCCCTTTTTCCTTTATCCCTTGTTCTCTTTCTTGCAACAATGTTTTTCCCCTTTTCCTTTATCCCTTGTTCTCTTTCTTACTGCAACAATTTTTTTCCCTTTTTCCTTTATCCCTTATTTTCTCTTTCTTACTTCTTACTGCAAATGTTTTCCCTTTTCCTTTATCCCTTGCAACAATGTTTTCTCTTTCTTACAACAATGTTTTCCCTTTTCCTTTATCCCTTGTTCTCTTTCTTACTGCAACAATGTTTTCCCCTTTTCCTTTATCCTTGTTCTCTTTCTTACTGCAACAATGTTTTCCCTTTTTCCTTTATCCTTCTTTCTCTTTCTTACTGCAACAATGTTTTCCTTTTTCCTTTATCCTTTCTCTTTCTTACTGTCAACAATGTTTTTCCCCTTTTCCTTTATCCCTTGTTCTCTTTTTCCTGCAACAATGTTTTTCCTTTTTTTTTATCCTTTTCTCTTTCTTACTTCAACAATGTTTTTTCCTTTTTCCTTTATCCTTGTTCTCTTTCTTACTGCAACAATGTTTTCCCTTTTTCCTTTATCCCTTGTTCTCTTTCTTACTTTCTTGCAACAATGTTTTCCCTTTTTCCTTTATCCTTGTTCTCTTTCTTACTGCAACAATGTTTTCCCTTTTTCCTTTTATCCCTTGTTCTTTTCTTGCAACAATGTTTTCCCTTTTTCTATCCTTATTTTATCCTATTTTCTCTTTCTTACTCCTTGTTCAATCTTACTTTTTCCTTTTCCTTTATCCCTTGTTCTCTTTCTTACTGCAACAATGTTTTCCCTTTTCCTTTATCCTTGTTCTCTTTCTTACTGCAACAATGTTTTCCTTTTTTCCTTTATCCTTGTTTTCTCTTTCTTACTGCAACAATGTTTTCCTTTTTTTTATCCCTTGTTTTCTCTTTCTTACTGCAACAATGTTTTTCCTTTTCCTTTATCCTTGTTCTCTTTCTTACTGCAACAATGTTTTCCTTTTTCCTTTATCCCTTGTTCTCTTTCTTACGTCCACAATGTTTTCCCTTTTCCTTTATCCCTTGATTCTCTTTCTTACTGCAACAATGTTTTTCCTTTTCCCTTTTATCCCTTTCTTTCTCTTTCTTACTGCAACAATTTTCTTTTTCCTTTTTCCTTTATCCCTTGTTCTCTTTCTTACTGCAACAATGTTTTCCTTTTTCCTTTATCCCTTGTTTCTTTTCTTACGTCCAACAATGTTTTTCCCTTTTTCCTTTATCCCTTGTTTCTCTTTCTTACTGCAACAATGTTTTTTCCTTTTTCCTTTATCCTTGTTCTCTTTCTTACTCAATGTTTTCCCTTTTTCCTTTATCCCTTGTTCTCTCTTTCTTACTGCAACAATGTTTTCCTTTTTCCTTTATCCCTTGTTCTCTTTCTTACTGCAACAATGTTTTTCCTTTTTCCTTTATCCTTATTTCTCTTTCTTACTGCAACAATGTTTTCCCCTTTTCCTTTATCCTTGTTCTCTTTCTTACTGCAACAATGTTTTCCCTTTTCCTTTATCCTTGTTCTCTTTCTTACTGCAACAATGTTTTCCCTTTTCCTTTATCCTTATTCTCTTTCTTACTGCAACAATGTTTTCCCTTTTTCCTTTATCCCTTGTTTCTCTTTCTTACTGCAACAATATTTTCCCTTTTCCTTTATCCTTGTTCTCTTTCTTACTGCAACAATGTTTTCCCTTTTCCTTTATCCCTTGTTCTCTTTCTTACTTCTTTTGCAACAATGTTTTCCTTTTTTCCTTTATCCCTTATTTTCTCTTTCTTACTGTTTTTCCCTTTTTCCTTTATCCCTTGTTCTCTTTCTTTCCAATTTTTCCTTTATCCCTTGTTTTCTTTCTTACTGCAACAATGTTTTTCCCTTTTTCCTTTATCCTTGTTCTCTTTCTTACTGCAACAATGTTTTCCCCTTTTCCTTTATCCCTTGTTCTCTTTCTTTCTTGCAACAATGTTTTTCCCTTTTCCTTTATCCTTGTTCTCTTTCTTACTGCCTTAATGTTTTCCTTTTTCCTTTATCCTTTTCTCTTTCTTACTGCAACAATGTTTTCCCCTTTTCCTTTATTTCTCTTTCTTACTGCAACAATGTTCTCTTTCTTCTGCAACAATGTTTTCCTTTTTCCTTTATCCCTTGTTCTCTTTCTTACTGCAACAATGTTTTCCTTTTTTCCTTTATCCCTTATTCTCTTTCTTACTGCAACAATGTTTTCCCTTTTTCCTTTATCCCTTGTTCTCTTTCTTACTGCAACAATGTTTTCCCTTTTTCCTTTATCCCTTGTTCTCTTTCTTACTGCAACAATGTTTCTTTTTTTCCTTTATCCCTTGTTCTCTTTCTTACTGCAACAATGTTTTCCTTTTTCCTTTATCCTTTCTTTCTTACTCAATGTTTTCCTTTTTATCCCTTGTTCTCAACAATGTTTTCCCTTTTCCTTTATCCCTTTTCTCTTTCTTACTGCAACAATGTTTTCCCTTTTTCCTTTATCCCTTTTCTCTTTCTTACTGCAACAATGTTTTTCCCTTTTCCTTTATCCCTTGTTCTCTTTCTTACTGCAACAATGTTTTCCCTTTTTCCTTTATCCCTTGTTCTCTTTCTTACTGCAACAATGTTTTCCTTTTCCTTTATCCCTTGTTTTCTCTTTCTTACTGCAACAATGTTTTCCCTTTTTTTCCTTTATCCCTTTTTCTTTTCCTTTCTTACTGCAACAATGTTTTCCTTTTCCTTTATCCCTTGTTCTTTTCTTACTGCAACAATGTTTTCCTTTTCCCTTTTCCCTTGTTCTCTTTCTTACTGCAACAATTTTTCCTTTTTCCTTATCCCTTGTTCTCTTTCTTTGCAACAATGTTTTCCTTTTTTCTTTTGTCCTTGTTCTCTTTCTTACTGCAACAATGTTTTCCCTTTTCCTTTATCCCTTGTTCTCTTTCTTACTGCAACAATGTTTTCCTTTTTCCTTTATCCTTGTTCTCTTTCTTACTGCAACAATGTTTTTCCTTTTTCCTTTATCCCTTGTTCTCTTTCTTACTGCAACAATGTTTTCCCTTTTCCTTTATCCTTCCTTTCTCTTTCTTACTGCAACAATGTCCCTTTTTCCTTTTCCTTTTCCCTTTTCTCTTTCTTTGCAACAATCTCTTTCTTTGCAACAATGTTTTCTTTCTTCCCCTTGTTCTCTTTCTTACTGCAACAATGTTTTCCCTTTTTCCTTTATCCCTTGTTCTCTTTCTTACTGCAACAATGTTTTCCTTTTTCCTTTTTCCCTTTTCTTTTCCCTTCTTTCTTACTGCAACAATGTTTTCCCTTTTCCTTTATCCCTTGTTCTCTTTCTTACTGCAACAATGTTTTCCTTTTTCCTTTATCCCTTGTTCTCTTTCTTACTGCAACAATGTTTTTCTTTTTTCCTTTATCCCTTGTTTCTCTTTCTTACTGCAACAATGTTTTCCTTTTCCTTTATCCTTGTTTCTTTCCAACAATGTTTTTTTTCCTTTATCCTTGTTCTCTTTCTTACTGCAACAATGTTTTTCCTTTTCCTTTATCCCTTATTTCTCTTTCTTACTGCAACAATGTTTTTCCCTTTTCCTTTATCCCTTTCCCTTTTCTCTTTCTTACTGCAACAATGTTCTCTTTTTCCAATGTTTTCCTAATGTTTTCCTTTATCCTTGTTCTCTTTCTTACTGCAACAATGTTTTTCCTTTTCCTTTATCCTTGTT